AGTTCCAAAATTAGAAAGGAAAATCACTCCAAACGGATCTAAATGTTACAAAATCCTCCTCCGTCACTAAAACACCACTCATATCATCGACCTCCTCAGACGCACCCACCAACACCTTGGGTCCCTTCCAATTCATAATTACGAACTCGAATCACATGTGCCTCGAGTCACATGCAACCCTTCGTGCATGCAAATTGAGAACATCGTTTTGGCCACTTTTGGTGGGAATCAGTTCTTAGGACTACTTCAAATGGCGTCAAAACATGCAAAAACCCTATAACCACCTCTATAGCGTCCAATTTGGCTCGTAAAGCGACATTGGATTCCATGCTGGCCAATTGTAGTGGATAGTAGATCCATTAGAAGCAATGTTTGTGACGACAGCGTTGGTGGGCCGAGCCAGCAGAAGGAAGAACAATCACATTGTAATTTTTTTTGCCTTTTTAATCAAACAATACACATTAACTTAATCAACATGTCATTAAGGAAAAGACGAAAATTATATCGCCGATTGTCTAAGATGTAAATCTTGAACTCCTCCTTAGACTGGTCAATCTCCCAAAGCTCCACAATTCTTTCTAAACGTATCTCCGTTTATAAGGAACGAACGAGTGGACATTTCTAATTTGGGTTTGATTCACATACTCACTTTATGATTTCATTTTGTGTTTTCAATGCATGAGACAAAGTGAGAAGTCACGTAAATTTCTATGTTCCGTATGTTCTCTTCTGAGTGTCTAATGAATCCTATTTATAGTTGAAAAATATAGTTTTATTTAACAATTTAATTAAAAAACCAAAACCATACCTATCATTAGGATGAAGTGGCGCCACTTTACTCGGAGAAATGTTTTCTCTATAATCACATTATTTAAAATAAAATTAATCCAATTAATTAATACGCGAAAATCAATTCAGAATTCATAACTTTAAGAATCTGTTTGATGCACATTTTTAAGGATAGAATGCATTTTTTTGTGACGTGATGGTGAATATGTGGTTGAAAAAGAAGGAAACGTTATTGATGTGATGAAAAAAATTATTTTATTGAATAATATGTGGTTGAAAATAAGTAGAAGAATGATAATGTGGCTCAAACATGAACTAAATTAATTAATCTAACCCAACTAAAATAATGTTCATGTAATTTTAACGGAGCCGACGAGAGGAACTATGGACAATATAATTTTAAGCTCCAATAATAATGACAATTAATTAACACTTTAATTATTATATCAAAATTATTAATCCCAAATTATTCCACTAAAAAATTGGAATTGCACTCATAAAATTATAAAACAATTTATATTCAAGAGATTTGAACTCTCCATTGATATAGTCATTTCATATAGATAAATCCTCTATAAACGGTTCATAATTAAAGTTATGTATTTATCCGTAAAACTCTTTAATTATATATTCCTCCATAAGTCCCATCAATCATCTAATGAATAATATATTTTATGATCTAATCATAAAATTAATCGTTCTTATTTTACTAAGCTGAAGACCATTTGGGAAGAGTTTAGTAATTATCGACATTCATGTTCATGTGGAAAGTGTAATTGTAGGGGAAATAAAAAATTGGCTGAACACTACCACATGGAATATGTTATGTCATTTTTAACGGGTTTAAATGAGTCATGTGCTCAAGTTAGAGGACAACTATTGCTCACGGATCCAATTCCACCAATCAACAAAGTGTTTTCACTTATCTATCAAGAGGAGCATCGACGATCTGTAAATGTGATTGCTGGAACTACTGATTCATCGGCCTTTTTTATTAGAAATGATGTTAAAAGGACCAACAGGGGGGCAGTCCTATAGTAAAAATCAGAAGAAAGAAAGGCTTGTTTGTACCTATTGTGGAGGAGTAGGTCATGCCGTTGATAGACGCTACAAACTCCATGGATTTCCACTAGGATACAAGTCAAGGCAGAAATCCAACTTAACTAATCAAATTGGATCCAGTTCAAGCAATAAAACATGTTATAATGTTCAGTCAAGTAATGCTATTGCTAATCAAATTTCTGATTCTATTCTAGATAAACCAATTGGCAATGTTGGGAGCTTTGTACAAACATTGAATTCTGACTAATATCAGTATCTATTGAGTTTGTTGAGCACACATCTTACGGATGTAAAGGTGGAAGATGAAGGAGGTAATTCTCGTCATGTATCAGATACATGTCTTTCCATTTCCATTAACCAAATACTTAGTTCTCCTGCACACTGGGTACTAGATTCATGGGCAACCAACCATGTTTTTTTCAATCATGCATCTTTCCAAACATTGAAGGTTGTGCATAATGTTTACATCAAACTACCTAATCATATCAGAATCCCAGTACAATTGGCTAGAACTGTTAAACTAACTCCTGAATAATTCCTGAAGATGTGTTATTTGTACCTCAATTCAAGTTCAACCTGTTATCCATCAGTTCTTTGACAAGGAACTCAAGTATAAGCATAAAAATTTTCACCGAT